AATTATATTCTGAAGTGAAAAGTCAGGAAAATATTTTATGAAAATCAGGTGGTTGAATTAACCATTTGAACACCCTTAATTTTAATTATTAATATTTTATTAACATAATATTAAATTATTCTTTTAATATTAAATATATAAATTATTATTTCTCATTATTAATAATTTAATAATATTATATTATAAAAATAGATAAATATTAATAATTTATTTAAAAAATAATATCATATATTATTATAATATATCTGAGTATATATTAATATAATATTAAAAATAAAATATTATTAAAAGTATATTATATGTATATTAAATATTTTAATAAATATTTTTTATTAAAATGATATTAAAATATTAATTTAATATTAAATGTATAAAATAATATTTTTTGAGTACTTATATTTTGAAGTAAAAAGTTAGGAAAATGTTTTACGAAAAATCAAATGATAAAACAATTTACAGAAAATACAAAGGAACTAGGAAAATGAATTACATTGTAAAATCAATTACAACTATTGAACACTGTAAAATGTTTTCCGTAAAACTAATTATAACTATCAAACACAAGAAAAATGAGAAAAACATTTTCCAGCTATCAAACACACCCTTAGTGAAATTAAACTCGGACTCTCTATTTTTTGTGGTTTAATTAACTTTTAGAACCTTGTTAATTTCAAAGATAAGCAACTTGGTCCCTCCCATAATTTCATCCTAGTTATGCCCATGGTGAGAAAAATAAACGATAAGAAAAATACCACATAAATAGAAAAAATAATGTCATAAAAACAGAGTTATTAGAAACGAAAAAATATACGAAATAAAAAAATATTAGTGATGACAATCAATACCAAAACTAATATCATCGCGTGCTATCCTAAAATAAGAAATAAAAATCAACGGAGGACAGGAAAATTGAGGAAGCAAACAAAGCTTGGGATTTTTAAAAGGAATAACGAGATAGGATTTAAGAAAAGCTTGTCACGGGTAATCCATTGCTCATAAGATTTGTTCTATTTTTTTCCAACCCGAATTCCCACAAAATTCACCAATCGTAATCTAAAGATTTGTTCTATTTTTTTTTAATGGTAAAACCTTTTCGAAAGGTCACAGAGCTTCTTTCACCTATCAGATATACTATTATACATGTGAACTTTGCCTTCATTTCATGAATTTGATTGATGGGTGGTCCCTCGTTGATATAATATTTGTTGATGTTTTAGCTAAGAATGCTTAAAATTGAGTTAAACCCATCGTTAGTCAAGATTATGAGCATTATTAATGTAATTCAATTCACGTACTAGTTAAGTAAATCATGAAGGAAAACGAGGCTGAAATTGTGGCTGATCGCTATAGTTAATCAACAAAGCTGGCGATATCAAACAACTAATTTGTAATTCCCTACTTTGAAACTCGACTTTAGTTGTAATTCCCTACTTTGAAACTCGACTATGTAAATATGGATTATGTTCATAGACGGAGGTAAGATTTCACGTTAGGGACTAATCTATAAAAATTGAAAAGAGGGTGAAATTATAAAATTTTAGGAGACGAAAATCAATAAAAAATTACACCAAAGACTTTAAAATTTTCAGATCTCACCCGCCCCCTCGATCGCTCGATCCTGTTTATGTTATCAATAACTGGTGTATAAACTAACGGTAAACGTGAAGGAAAAAAAAACAGTAAAACAATATCACCATGGCTAGGGTTTAAGGTATGGTGTGTATGTATTCTATGTATGTTTGAGAACTGACTTGGCAGAACCGAAATTTGCATGTCAGTTGAGGATTGGATGCGTATTTTAAGAGAACACTACAAGCTGATTCAGAGGACAAATAACGTAAACTGGTTTGGCTTATTTATGTTTTTTATTGGTGCAGTAAGGGCTAGTTCTAAAAAGTGGAAGCTAGGGATCCATCGCCCCCATGTTCTTCAACTGTGACCCTTGAAACTTCTGCCATGGTCAAACATTACCACCAAGAAAAAATGTCCTCCAATATGGTTTTCTTCTTCTTTTATATTTCTTAAAGGTTTTTTTTTTCAAGGAATCCGAGGAGCAGAAATCAGCCATTGCATCATGTAGTTCACCTTGAAAAAAGTGGTGCGTGTGGAGATCACCGCAGCCTATAGCGCCTAAGGATATATTTACAAAACACCATATTCAACGGCCGCGTCTATTGAAAGTTATAGAAATTTTGTGGTTTTAAAAGCCTTTTAGCAATGGTTACACATAAGCAAACCCCTACCCCAAGGTTCGTAGTGTCCGGTCGGTACGATAATAGTGTTACTTTTAAGTCCTTTTTGGCTGGAAGTGTGGTCCAGCAAATAAAATAAAATCTTGGAATTTTACTTTACTACATTTGATTATGGAGATAGCCCTAAAAGCATGATCTTCATAAAGATTTTAATCCCATCATTTAATTGCATCATGTTTAGGGATAGGTATTTCATCAAAACTAGACAAGTTCGAATTCAATCCGGTCAAGTTGATTTTTTATTTTAAAAATTTAGGTTTAAATATGATTTTTCAAATATAGAATCGAATCAAATTCGAATTTAGGATGAAAAATATTTCACGACTTGACATAATATTATAGTTATTATTTATATATTTAGGGATAGTTACAGTAATACTCATTTATATATTATTTTTTCAATTAAGTCATTATATCACCTAATAGGAGCAATTTATATACATAGGGTAAATTGCACGTTTAGTACATAACTTTAAGTTTTTGTTCATTTTAGTGCCTAATTTTTCAATTTTCTTAAGACTATACTTAATGTTTAGCTTTTGTTTCGTTTTAGTACCCCCATCGTTAAAAACTTATCAGGTGATTTGCATGTGATACCTTTGTATGGGTAAATTGCATTATTCATCACTCAACTATTTTTCCACTCCTATTTTGGTCAATAAAGTTTATTTTTTTAATTTAATTACTTAAATTACTCATAATTTAATCACTCTAACTTTCAAATTTATTTTTTATTTTTAATTATATATTAATAAAATAATAATAAAAAGTCATGTCACAAAAGTTATTAATAAAATAAATTAGAGTGATTAAAATAGGAGCAATTTATATACATAGGGTAAATTGCACGTTTAGTACATAACTTTCAGTTTTTGTTCATTTTAGAGCCTAATTTTTCAATTTTCTTAAGACTATACTTAATGTTTAGCTTTTGTTTCGTTTTAGTACCCCCATCGTTAAAAACTTATCAGGTGATTTGCATGTGATACCTTTTTATGGGTAAATTGCATTATTCATCACTCAACTATTTTTCCACTCCTATTTTGGTCACTAAAGTTTATTTTTTTTAATTTAATTACTTAAATTACTCATAATTTAATCACTCTAACTTTCAAATTTATTTTTTATTTTTAATTATATATTAATAATATAATAATAATAAGTCATGTCACAAAAGTTATTAATAAAATAAATTAGAGTGATTAAAATAGGAGCAATTTATATACATAGGGTAAATTGCACGTTTAGTACATAACTTTCAGTTTTTGTTCATTTTAGAGCCTAATTTTTCAATTTTCTTAAGACTATACTTAATGTTTAGCTTTTGTTTCGTTTTAGTACCCCCATCGTTAAAAACTTATCAGGTGATTTGCATGTGATACCTTTTTATCGGTAAATTACATTATTCATCACTCAACTATTTTTCCACTCCTATTTTGGCCACTAAAGTTTATTTTTTTAATTTAATTACTTAAATTACTCATAATTTAATCACTCTAACTTTCAAATTTATTTTTTATTTTTAATTATATATTAATAATATAATAATAAAAAGTAATGTCACAAAATTTATTAATAAAATAAATTAGAGTGATTAAAATAGGAGCAATTTAAAAGTTGAGTAGTTAAATTGAAATTTTTTAAACTTTAGTACCAAAATAAGAAGGAGAATATAGTTGAGGGATGAATGATGTAATTTATACATAAAAATGTTGTGTGGTCAAGTTTTTTACAGCGAGGTACTAAAACAAAATAAAAATAAAACGTTAGATATGCTTTTAAAAAAAATTAAAAATTTAAATACTAAAACATATCAAAACTGATAGTTTATGTACTAAACACGTAACTTACCCTAATGTATGTCGGATTAGTTCACATATGGGTTTGGCCTAAAAATTAATTTAGATTTTGAATTAGATAAGATATTTCTAAACCAAAATCGGATCAAATATAAATATAAAATTTAATCTTTGAATCGGTTCGGAAAAAAAAAAACATTATCCTACTAATGTTGGATTTCTCAATTGATTGCAATAATATTGCCAATTTAAATTTAAAAAATTTATAAATTGTATAAGGATTATTATTTGCTCGGTTAATTTTAACCTCAAAACTATTTTGATTCATTAGTTAAAATTTTTATAAAATGATTTCATATTTGGGTAAGTTTAAGATTTTTTATTCGAATTTATCCTTATATTTTATAATTAAAAATATTTAAAAATAAATATATTATTTATATCAATTACGAGAGTATTGATCATTCTCTCATCATATAATGTAGGCATCAAAATTTCATCCGCAAGAGCCGTCCGATTATGTAATAAGTTGAGCCACTTGACTTGACTGACGCCATGGCTGATCTCAAACTGATCATCATGTACATACATATATACATACATACTAGATTTTTCTGTGTATGGGTCCCATCACATGCCAATCCCTTGATTGATGTTGATCGATCAATTTACATTGCGGTTTCAACATCTTTGAGTTTTAAAGCAAAGCATCATATTCAGAATGCTTATCAGTAAAAATGTATTTTTTTAACTGTAAAAACGTAATAAAAGTCTGTCACGGACTTCAATGTTTAGACTTTAGATGCAGCCCGTAAGAGGGAAAAGCTGAAACTTTCAAAGCATTGACCAATGCAAAATTGGAAACAACATTTTTAGCTTTTTTAAACCATAGTTTACAGCATCAAACAAAGTTCACTGTAATGCAAGTTTCTAGTTACAAACTTACCCCTTTGTTTTTAACCCTTCGTCCTCGGGCAAAACATTCCAATGACCTGTCTGGTTGATATCGTTTTTTAACACTCGTTAACGGCTCAACCGTTAACCTGAAACATGAAAAAGAACTAATAAATAAATGAAGTGTAAAGCTAAGAGACAAAGCCTTGGAAACTGGTGAACGTGCGCCTTGCAGAGAAAATTAAACGGGAATGGGAAACCAAACCCCTTGGTATTACTTCTCTCACAGGGTACAATGGTAGTTGATGTACAACCCACACCTCGGTGAGGAAAATTTTTCAGATTTACAAATCTAAACAACCCAGATTGATTAACTAAAACAAATATTTCATGGGTTTTTTTGGGTCAGAAAAAGGCAGTAGAAAAATGTAAACAGAGAAGCAACTGAGCAGCTTCACCTTCTCCAAAAATACTTTATTTTTTTGCTTCATCTGAGCATGGAGGTTAGAGACTGGAAAACAGCTTCATCACAGGGAATGGTGAGGCCCATGTCGTGATCGAACCCGAATTCTTCTTCAGCTTGATGAAGCAGGGTCTGGAACTCGGGTCGGGTCAAGAAGGAGATGGGAACAATGTATCTGGTCCTGTTAGGGCCAACGTAAACAACGAAATGACCTCTGGGGACGTCCAAAGGCAGACCTTGTTGGTCGTAGCTTTGCTTCTTGCCCAAGCTGGAGCATCTCTTTAGGATCTGCTTGATAACCGGTGTTTGAGGCAGCTTGTTGGATTTCTTGTTGATAGCCATCTCCTCCTCCCCACCTTTGCCTTCGAAGTGTCGAACTCGGGGAGGGTAAATGGGAGAAAGAGAGTTGGTGTGAAAGTATGGAGGGGGCATTCAAGGGGTATATATGGTGAGATAATAGAATTTTGAAAGAGAGAAAGAAAGCCATGTAGTGTACTCGTGGGGATAAAGGAATTAGGGTGTGTAATTAAAATTCGACTTAATTTAAAAAATTGATCCTCTTAATTTAATTTGATTAGAAAAAATTCATTTTAAATTGATTCGATTTATAATTTTATAAACTCAATTTAATTCAAAAAATAAATAAATTCTAGTTGAACTATGAAATAGAACTTAAATAACTCTACAATTTTTAATAATTAGTAGATTCATTTTTAAGTTTGAGTCGAGTTCCTGAACTTTGTGTGATGTATATATATATCACATATGAAAACATAAGAATATAAATATATGTATTATTTATAATTATAGAAAAACGTTTAAATTAAAACAAAAATTGAGTTATAAAATAAAATTTTGAATAATTTAAATTATTTTGATTTAACTTGACTTCACTCACCAAATGTTAACCCCTAATCTATTTAGGGGTCTGGCGTGAGTGAGCTCAAAGTACAAGCCTGATGGCAACCCAATCGGGATTACACCACTTTGTTGCCCTCCCAAAGGACATCACGGTCCCTCTTTCTCTCTTATACTTTCTCAATATCATATGCACTTGTTTAAAAATTTGAACTTTTTTTAGGCAAAAAAATAAAATAAAATTGAACCTTAAATTCTTTTAAGTCACATCATATTTCTAAAATAATAAATCCATTTAAATTATGCTCTTCTCTTTTTATATGCTACCTTCTATTTAATATTTAGTCAAATTTTTTTATTTTTAATTGATGAGAAATTTTAATTATATTTTTAATATAATACCAGCGCTATTTAAACCCCTTCTAATTTTAACATATTTTTACTATTTATATTATAGCAATATATATTTTATATAATATGTATAAAATATCATATAAATATAAAGTATATAATATAGGTTACGTTAATGGTTTCGTTACTGTTTCATCATATTTGGGATTGATTTGATCAAAAAAAAAGTTCGAGATCCAAAAGAAATGCACCAAAATTTTAGAAGGACTAAAATAACTAAACTGATAAAGTTGAGGGCTGAAAATATCATTATATCTTTTTGTTTTAAGCCTTCACAAATTTGTATTGGTCAAATTATGTTTGCTTATATATAAAATAGATATATCTAATCTTATCCAAAAATTAATCGAGTCATAGTTTGAATCGTAGATTAAGTGAGGCCTTGTTTGAAAAATCACGAATAAAAAATTATTTTTAAAGATAATTTCAATGGCTTATTTGATCACATTTTTTTACATAAGAGTTCATTTGATCCGTGATTCAAATCAATAACTTACTTTATTTTTTAGTATAATTACAGGGCTTATTTTATTTATAAGTAATTTTTTATAATATTATTAGCTTAGTGTTCAACCAAACTATTCATCCCTATGCCACTATAATTTATTACTTGATTAATATGAGGTAAGTACAAGATAATATCTGATTAAAGATAACTCTTAACCATTTGACATTGAACGCTCACACCCGTAGCATTCCAGGTGCTCGAACCCGGATCTCAAGGAATAACAATAGTTCATTTACCATCGAGATCACTAGATTTGTGCTAAAAGTTGAAATTTATTTAATTATTTATGAATAAATTTAATTTCATTCTAAATTATTTTATAACATTTAAAAACTTCATTCAATTATATGCCCGAAGTACATTATACAACACACGAAATATTAGAAAAACAAAGACAAAAATAACATGTAATATGCAATTTATCAAAATTTATACAAATTAAATTATTATTATTATAATATGAATGATTATGAATTTATGATATATGTTTAGATTTTCATTGTATTTAATTTTAAAGGAATTTTATAATAAATTTATTATTATAATTTATTTTTAAAAGAATTTAAAGTGTTCTAGACAAATTTGTGGAGTTTGAGATATTTTTTAACGAAACATACACTTGATTCATGTTCATAAGGTAAAAAAGGAGTGGACTGAAAATATTAGAGTCAAATGATTGTTGGCGACGGTAGTTGACGACGACCGATAACAACAATCAATGATGACTAATGATGGTGATGAGTTACGATCGATGAAAGCTTTGATTGAATTCAGGGATTGAATTAGTATTTTATTTAAATTTAAGTGTCAAATTTGTATTTCGTCTAAAGCCTAGGGGTCAAGTTAATCCAATGACTAAAAAAATAGGCCGAAACCAAAAATGACTAGAATATAATTTTTTTAACTAAAATTAAACTAAAAGCAAAAGGGACTGACTGCAAGTGTTGTTTACCCAAACAAAAAAAGCTTCAGATTGGAATGAGATAAATCGTAATCAAGGCGATGAATAAAGTAAGCAGATACAGTAGGTGAAATTCCCGAGGCAATATGGTAATCTGGTACATAGTTCAGAGGTTAAACATATAAGCAGTCTGTACTGAGAGTGTAAGCACCACTAGCTGCTGCGAGTCTCACTCCTATATTTTTGAGCTTGTGATTCTGAGAATCGATTGGCAGATATGCAATAACAGTGATTCACATGCATGATGCACGTACGTGCTAGCTTTTCTTCTTCCTTGTTGCAGGTTTTTCAAGCCCTTATCGGCTCACATTATTTCATCCCCTAATAGGCTAATACTAATTAATTGATAATTTCGAAACAATTAATTCTCTTCCAGCTGCCACATGCATGGCAGGCTATAGTTATCATCTGGTCTATAAAGTGAAGTTACTGCTTGACTGCATTGTACCGGCCTAGAAAGTGACTCTTCGACATACCTTTTCTTGATCACTATTATAGCTAGCTGAGGTAAATTAAATCTGTAAAGTTAATCGATAATAAAGACTGGAGTTAAATAGAGTAGTCATAGTATGGTATGATTAACTTCTAAGTTGTTTTCTTGAAGATGATCTCTTAGAACTTATGAAAAAGATCTTTATATTTATAGAGTCGGCTAGTCTTGCAAATAGGGATGAATATAATATTTTATGCAAGAATATATTTATAAATTTTAGGATAAAATATATTATTAATATAAAATACAAATAAAAAAATATATAAAAATTTAAAATTTTCATGGTAACGACCGCCCCTATCATTCTCCCTCGGTCCATCATTGACTGCACGAATGAGAGCCACTTGTAATCCATCCTTATGATCCAAGCAGCAATTTCTCTCTCCACTCCCCCCCCCCCAACCACATGTTCTATGGACCAGACCTGATGACCTAACTGCTAAAATCAACTAAAGAGGTCCGGCTTTTTACAATGGTAACAAGCCTGGACGTGATTTGGTAAAGTACGTAATGAATTTAATCATCGAAAGATGCAATGCGCCAACAAGTACGTACTAAAACGGTTTGAAGGGCTTGAACAAACACTGAACTCATGGTCACCAAAGGAACCGAATTCATGTAATTGTGTGATCGAAACTGATTGGTTAACTGAAATGGACTTCACTTGGGAGGATGAGAAATTGAAAAACACATGCAAATACGGATATGGGTCCAATGGAATCCCCGAAAGCAGCAGTGTGCAAATATGAAGGGATACTAATCAAGGCAACCACTAAAATTGGTAGCTAAGGATAGGATAATGTGACCCTTAATTACAGGTAGCCTGCTCGACCAGATATATCATTTGCTCATTGAAATTTAGAAAGTTGTGACAATTTGTAGAATCCACTGAAAACCAAGGAATATCAGATGATAAACGTTTAATGTTGGGATGAAACGAAAACGGGGAATGGACCCATTTGACAGGTAAGAACTCGAATCCGGAACGTCACGGACTTGCGGATGTAGCATGAACAAAGAAGGAAGCACATGCGGTGTGTAAGATGGAGGAAACAATAGTGTCATGTTTGGGTTGATGGTCTACTACAACTGTATTATTGTCATCTGTGAGTGTTTTTGCTTCCTATTTTGGGGAGCAACATTTCTGTTGGAAGGGGTCCAAGCCAGCTGGGGTGGATGACTTCTTGTGTATGGGGTCAGGGTGGGGAGAGGACGTCCTAACCATGGGCCTTGTTAATTTTGTGGAATTTTGGGTATTCTTTGTCCCATTGGAAGAACCAGAAATCCAACTGTTTTTTTCCCATTAGGGTATCCGGATTTTTTTATTTAACTTATTAGTGCACTCAAGTTTTTATTTTTGAGAATACGAAAAATGTTGCATTGGAAATGAAACTCATCACGTCACGTCAAGGTGACGAGTTTTAATAAAAAATATTTTTATTCAAACTCGTTACATCAAAATGATGAGTTCTAATAAAATATAATTTTATTAAATTTTATCACATTAAGGTAAAAAGTTTTAATAAAAATATTTTTATTAAAACTCGTCACTTCGACACGACAAGTTTTATGCACTATAAAAAATATCGTAGATCCCAAAAAAAAAGTATTTGTGCCCTATTTTGTAATTTTTTTTGGCCAACACTTTGGTAGCTCAAAATTGTGACTATTACCAAAATTTATAACCCCCATAGGGCATAGCTACTTGCCACATGAAGATCCTTGGACTATGGGTAACTTTGTAGACATGAACTCAAAAACCTTACTGTGAAAATTTAGATTGAATTTAATCAAATTTGATTTATCAATAAAAAATCCAACAATTCAAATACACACAACTTAAATCTAAAATAACTGAACTAGAAATGACTTTGACTTGAAAAGTCTTCAATAATCTGAATTTAAAATGAACAATGTTCAAAATTTAGATGACTCAAACATAAAATTATTTGAATTTTTAAAAAAATAAATTAACTTGATTAAGATGAATTCAACTTCAAACCAAATCAGTCCGTCCAAAGCTTATTCCATTTGATAGTACAATAGAAGAATGGACAGACATGGGGTGAGACAAGTTAGACTCTTAACTGCCCTGACCTTGACTCGAAAATTAGATGTATACATTCGATTTTGACCTACAAAGAATTTTAGAGGTATCTATTTCACTTCCTTTAATTTTTTTAGCTGA